TATAAACTGAGCTGCTGTTTGGGAAACCCTAAAGTTGGCTGCTTATTTGACTCGTCTTAAATATCTCATACACAACACTTCTGCAGCATCACTCACAATCCAACATTACTGATAGGCGACCCTTGTGGCAAGTCTGTATGTGCCAGAAAGATTATCTGAAAAACTAATAAAATCCTTGTAATCCTTTTCAAGGATGCAGAAAGGAAAATGGCTACATTTCAAATTCATGTCATTTCAAACGTGTGAATTAAGCTCTAAACTCTACATTTGAAAAAAAAAGTCAACACAAGTTCTCTAATTTATGTTCTAAACTGAGAAGACAAATAGTTGCTAAGAAACGAAATTTGCAAAATTGTTAAACACGTTTTCTAGTTGATATGCACGTACTTAAAACTACAAACTATACCAAAATATAAATGCAGGAATCACTACCATTGAACTTGGTTGATAAAACTTCATCATGAAACCTGGAATTGTTTTTTTTGGTTTGGTTAATTTTATTCCTAGACACTCTGCCTTTTAGGTGTATATAAAACTGATCATGTGTAGATGATGTTGAGATGATACTTCTGTGAAAATATATGAGAAAGCTTATTGCTTCTCTTCCTTCTTATCCATCATGCCCTGGGTAAGAGGGCTCCTTCTTAGCTCCCAACATCTTGATTACTGTGACACTCATGCCAGAGTGCTCTGCACCCTAACCCTCCTCCTGGCTATCACCTGTTAACTTCTCACTCAATGTACAGTTTGGCAAAGGGCTACCAGACTTCCTCTCTCCTTCAAAGCAGTCATCCTCCTGGAAGACTTGCCAATGACCCATCCAACAAATTTGCCTTTCAAACCCATGATCTCCTCTGTCCAATCCAGCCACTCTGCCCCTGCCCATAGCTCCTCTACCTCTGACCAACATGCCTGCCCTCCCTGCTCTTCTCTCCCACCCATCACATCTATTCTCTCACTCCACTGAGAACCCCACCCCTCCAATCTGGCTTCCCCTCCTTCCTCTTGGTGGACTACCTCTTCCACCTCTCTTGCCAGCATCTTCAACTTCCTTAAAGAATTGTCTCCCTTGTCCAGCAAAGCCCAGCCCTGGTCAGCCTCACCAGTAGCCTTCTCCATGCCTATCTCAGGGCTGATGGGATGCTGAAGAAAGCCCATACCTCATAGATTAGTGCCCCCACAAACCCATGGCCTCCAGCCTCAGCAGTCCCTTACCACTGCCCTGCAGTCTCTGTGGGTTGCTATTAGCTTTCCCTCCTCTTTTCCGTAGCAGCCATCTTGAACATTTTGCTCTTTCTCCAAGCTTCCCACCCCATCCCATTTCCTCACACTGAGTAGATATCCTTGCCTCCCATCACAAGTAATGGCTATCAGGTGTGAATTCCCTCCATTTCCTGAGCCCACCTCCCAACTACCTACCTACCAAACTGCTGACCTACCTGCGTCTCCAACTCCTTCCTTTCCCTTCTCCCACCTGAGGCTCACTCTGAACCCCACCACCTCCCATCCTCTTGCTGACCTCACTTCATCCTTCAACCCTTCTCTTCCCTGTATCCTCAACCGTCCATATACTGGCTTTTCCCCATGAGCATTTTTAAATGTCCTAATCTCTCCCAACTTAAAACTGTCTCCTAACTCTACATCCTTTCTCGTTTTCTCTCCTCCCTTTCAAAACCACTAACAAGAGTTATCTACATCCACTTCTCACACACTCAGACTGCTGCCCCTGCTGCTCCATTGAAACTACTCTCTCCAAGATTGCCAGTGACCTCTGTGTTGCTAAATCTGGGGTTCAATTGTTCAGACTTTGGCTTACTAGACTATTCTACAGCACGTCACTTCACTTCCTCCATTTGGCTTCTGTGGCACACCATTCTTTGGTTTTCTTCCTATCTCTCTGTTCTCACCTTTACTTCTGGGCTCCTCTTCCTCTATTTGTCCCTTAAATGTTGGCATTTCCCAAGGGATTTTGGTCTTCTCTTTCACCCTCTCTACTGAAGGATTTCATTCACTTCCATGGCTTCAGTTATGATGTATATATTAAGAACTTGATAACTTAAGGTTCTTTCTCCAGATCAGATCTCTCAAGGATGACAGGCTCTCAGGCTCTGTCTTTTTTATTTGAATTAGGTTCAGGGTAATAGTCTCCCTGATTGCTTCTTCTTTGGCCATGAATTAGTTACTCCCATATATTAAGGCATTCTCCCAAGATAAGCTCCAAATCACCTAATGGACCTCTCACCTGATGTCCCACTCACCTCAAACTCACCTCCTCCTCTTCCTGCCTAAACCTACTCCTTTACTATTCTGTACCTCAGAGGAAAGCACCACCATGCATTCACCTAGTTACCCAAGGCAGACACCGGGGCATCACCCTTGACTCACCACTTTCTGCCACACCCTCAGCTCATCACTCACAAAGTCCTCTTGGTATTTCTTTTTTTTTTTTTTTTTTGGCCACATTGCGCGTCTTGTGGGATCTTAGTTCTCTGACCAGGATTGAACCCAGGCCCATGGCAGTGAAAGCATTGAATCCTAACCACTGGACTGCCAGGGAATTCCCTGAATATTTACCTCCTTAATACATCTCAGATCTACCCCTTTTTTCCATCTTCATTGATGCCGTGCTTGATCACTGCAGCAGCTTGCAACCTACATCTAAGCCTCATGTTCTCCTGGTCATTTTCCACACAGGCCCTAGACCTTTTCAAAATGCACATCTTCTCAAAAACCTTCATTATCATTAGAATAAAGTTATATTTCTCAGCCTGATATACTGAGAGGAGCCACCCCTGATTAATCACTCCAGCCCCGTGTCTGAGATTCAGCATTCTGGTTAATCCCCTTGTTAATGAATTAGAAGACCTATGGAACTTCACTGAGACCTTTTGCCTCTCTGACAAGGGAGCAGGCTAGCTCAGTGTTCCCCTGGAATCCTTTGCAACTCTAGCTTATAAGCATCTAGAATTCCTTTCTCTCACAATTCTCTGCTCTCAAACCACTCCTTAAAAAAGACAAAACAAATATATTGAGCATATGCCCGACCAAAATCATACAACTAATAAGAGAGAGAATGGGGATTTGAACCCAGATTGCCCAGGACATTACCTCCTGCCTATTTGTTCACAATCAAACCAACTACTGATAATCCAAGATGAAGAATGTGGAAACAGACAAACATTCATTAAGTGCTTAATATTTATGAAGTGCTTTACATAAGGCATCTCACTTCTCCATTACAACACTGTCAAATTAGCAAACTGTAGATCTGAGAAGGTAGTGTGTACAAGGTCCCACAGCTAGTAAATGGGCTTGAATTCCCCCACCTCCACCTTATTACCTGATCCCTACCACCAATAAATAGCATTTTACAACTGAAGAAACAGGTCCAGCCCAGGGTCATACCTCTAATCAGAGGCAAAGTCAGAATTAGAATCCAGGTTTCCTGAATCTGCTTGGCTGGGCCGATGCTATTTTAGTCCCTGCTTTCTGGGAGAATCGTGGAACCCTGACTTGCACCCTAGTTATAACAATTTCCTGAAAACTAGCACTACTCCTGAAGGGCTAAACTGACCTCTAGAGTTTCAACTGTTGCTCCAGGCGGTCTTCTTTGGTAGCCCTCTGCTGATACTCTGCCGATGCTGTGCTGGTGTCCACCCTGTGGTGTAGTCCTCCCCTTCCCACTTTTCCAACAACCTCTGCTCTCACTGCATCCACAAAATTAGGCACTCTGTGTCAGCACAAACCCCATTTCCTCCTACCTCCTACAGTTTTCTCATCTTCAGTAATGAGCCCCCCCACTATCTGTCCGCCTAGCTCCAAAGGTCTTTCCTTATGGTTTAGCCAGGATCAAAGCCCCTCTGCCTGTTAGTTAGAAGTCCTGTTAGTTCTTTCCTAAGTGCAATCCATTTGACTCCTTCCCCCATTCTAGCCTTCCCTCCCTGGATGTCATCAGCGCAAGGATGGCAGGGTTGCTTTCTCAGGCTCTGTCTTTTTGGTTTGAATCAGGTTCAGGGTAATAGCCTCCCTGGTTACTTCTTTGGCCACGAATTAACTATTCCCATTTATTAAGGCATTCTCCCAAGAATGCTTTAGCTAAGATATATTCAGAATGTCTGGATGTGGTGACATATGAAGCATGTGTGGGATTAACTGGACCATCTGGCCAACACCAGGGCCCTGAGTGGAAAAAGAATCAGAAGAGATGCTACCTAGCAAGGTGGGATATCACCACCAGGGCCCTATGATGCTGAGCAGAGGGCTGAAAGAAGGGCAGGGATCTCAGACTGCCTTTACTCCATAACTGACAGGAGCAAAAGATCTTTCCCAGAAAGGGAGTGGGAGGTAGGGTGTTTAGGCACAGAAAGAAGAAGGGCCAACAGCTAGAAATAGAGGAACATGAAGAACTGATGACATTTAGGGGAGAACTGACAGAACTTCCAAGGAATGATAGACATGAATCTATCACTCCCTTGCGTCACAGGACTGGAAAGGCCCTCAAAGCACTCAGGCAAAATTTCAATCCATTGTTTGAATAACATAAACATTTCTTCAAGGCGGTGGTATCCCTCTAGTTGAAGACTTTCAGCAATGGGAAATGCCTAACCACAGGAGATCAAGATCATGCGAAATTCAATTACAATACATTCATTTTCAATTCAACAAATATCTACTGAGTACCTACCATGCAACAGACACTACAGGCACTGGACTGTAAGTGTGAATAATATAGACACGGTCCCTGCTCTGTGGATCTTATAATCTAATATGGAAGACAGATACTCAAATACATAAGTAGAATGGGGGAAGTAGAGGGTGCTACTCAAACACAAGGTGAGGTACCTCATATGGAGCCGGGCATCTGGGAAGGCTTCACTGAGGAGGCAGCGTCTAGGCTGGGGCTTGAAGAGTGTGAGGCATTAGCTGAGTGCAGGGTGGAGGGACCCACGTGAGAGAACAATTGCTTAGGGCTTCCCAGCTTCCAGAGAAGTTCAGAGTGTTGCAAGAAGGTGGAGTCCAGATCCTGAAGGGCCTTTAGATTGACACTGAGGAATGTGGGTTTAATTCCGGAGGCAATGGGAAGACTGGTGAAGGGTTTTAAGCAGAAGCGCCCTCTGGCTACGCTGTGGGAGACGCTGCGGTACGGGGCGTGGCGTGAAGGAGGCCAGAATCCGGGATGAGAAGGCCTTGATGGCCCAAGGAAAATGACCAAAAACAAAGCGCTCCTCTATGACAAGACAGAAGCAAAAACAAAGGGATAAAGTTCAGAATGCGCCCCTTCCACTCTCAAGCCGAAGGTCTCCATCCTCTCTCACCTTTGCTGGGCAGCTCGCCCTCGGTTTGCCCTAACACCGCGGAGTGTGGGCGGGGAGACGACTCCACGCCCCTCTTTCCAGATAAGAAAACTGAGGCCCAGAGTCCCGGGGTGGGGACCGAGGTGAAAAGAGAATGGAAACGGCCTCCCAAAGGAGGCTGCCCGAAGTCACGCACAATCCTTCGACGGTCCGGCGGCCTGCCCCATTACTCCGTCAGCCGTCCCCAACCAGTCGCCTTTGCTATAGAAACAGTCCTCCCGCCCTCCTCAGCGCCTCTGTTTTGTCAATGCACCCTGGGAAATGCAGTCTATCTCTCATTATCTGCCCGAGACATGAGCCCACTCCGCGTCCTTAAAGGACTACAAGTTCCAGAAGGCTGTACGAAAACACCGGCGGGCTCTCGGGGATTTGGTCTAGCAAGAGAGACAGAAGAACCCGCGGGCGGGGCCGAAGGGAGGGGAGATGTGCCCCCACAATGGGCGACCCCTGGGCGGGGCTCGGGTCTCTATTGGCTACGGAGGCACGGAGGAGGCGGGGTCAGCGGAATGAGGCGCGGAGCTGTTCGCCGCTCCAGGTGCTGAGTCCGAGGGAGGCTCCGGAGCGAAGAGGAACGGTCTCAGCCTTCTCTGCCGCCGCCGCCGCCGCCCCGCGTCGAGAGCCCTCCGCCTGGAAGCCGAAGCCGTGAGGAGCCCGGAGGAGCTGGATGCGCTGCCGGGCGCCGACCGCGCTTCCGCATCTCTGAGGTCGGTGCTGCTGGATTCGCTTTTGTTTTATTGAGGAAGGAATGAATTGAGGCGTTAGAGGGCCTGGGGAGTTGATGGGACCTCACCGCCCTCAAGACCATCTGTCCCGGAGAGCTGCTGACTGACCCCTCGTGGGCCTCCCTGTGGCCCCGGCACCTGAGGTCGGAGCAGCTTTGGTTAGTTTTTGTCTTATGGTGGAGGAGGCTCTTAAGCGTGAGGGGCGAGGGCTGGGGACCTACCCCACCATCTCTCTTGAGAGGGCGTTGAGAGCTTGGAGCCTCCCTCCGCCTGTGCCTGAAGTCGAGGCTGCTTGGATTATTGAGGATGGCAGGGAGTGTTCCGGGATGAAAGAATCGGAGGCAGGAGGACCCTTCCCCACACCTCGGCTGCTTGAGCTTACAAAGAGGGTCTGGATGTGATGGATGAAACCGCGGTATTCCTCCTCCTCCGCTCAGACCCTCCTGAGGAAGGGCTGTTTGGGGATGTCAGGAAGACCCTTCCTCGTACCCACCCCTCTCCCGAAGCCTAGGGTTTTGTGAAAAGGGAGGACGGGATGAAGATGGAGCCAGACGACTCTTTCCCCTCCCAGCTGGACCCGCCTAGGTTATGGGGGGGTAGGGGGAATGGGATGTGAGGGGCAAAGGCCGGGAGACCCCTCTCCACCCTGTTAGGAGTCGCCGGTACAGGAGAGCCCTGACGGATTCTCCGGGTCCTCTGCGATCTGGGCCCTGTGCCTAAGGTCGGGGTGGCCTGGGTGTGGGGTGTGCGATGGGGAAAAGTAAAAGGGATTGAAGAACCCCTCCCGACCTCTCCGCTCCCGGGCCTTATCGACTTGGCCCTCTAACTGGATCCAGGCCAGGGACCCTAAGTCGAGACGACCCTCCCCTCCCCGCCCCGCCCCACCCCGGAGACCCTGGCTGCTGAACCGCAGAGGGGAGCCAGACCTGGATGGGCACATGCTGGGCGGGACAGGCCTAGTCCCCCTCTCAAGCGCCCTGGAGCTCCAAGCAGACGCCCCCCGCGCCCATAGACCCTCGGGCTGTTCTGCTCGGCGCGGGGTGCGCCTCAGACCCCGCTGCCGAGACCTGTGTCCTGGCTATGCGGCGGCCGCTCCGGGCGCAGGGCTTTCGCGCGTGGCCCCGGCATCCGCGAGAGGACAAAGCCGCGGACGCCGCACTGGCGGGCCTGCGCCACTGGCTGGGCGGGGGGCGCGGCCAGGGGAGTGGGGGGTGGGGGAGGCTTCGGGCGCGGCGCGGGGAGCTTCTGCGGAAACGTGCCAGAAACCAGGCGGGAGACAAAGCGCGCTCGCTCCTCGCGGGCCCGCGCGAGTCGGGATGGAAAATCCCAAGGGAGGAGGCGGCTGCGCCGGGCAGGGCACTATGCCCCACACCCTTCTTCCCTGCACACCACCACCCTCGCCGGTCCAGCACCCAGGATGCCGTGTGTGCGATGGTAGCCAGGGTCCCTTCTGTGCGGCGTTCCAAGAGAACGTGGACAAGCCAGGGGCTCCGCCTCTCGAGGAGGGGCCCAGGGTTTAGGAGGCATGAGTGGGCCAGGGGCCGTAAGGGCATCCTGCCTGGACCCCCCAACCCTGCTCCATCAGCCGTGTTAGGTCAAATTTGGTTCCAGGATTCGAGTGTATTTGTATGTGTCACAGTGTGTTTACATGGGTGAGGGTGCGGGTCAGAGTGTGAGTGTGAATGTGTATGCCCGGGTGAGGTGCCAATGGGTGCTCCAGTGTTCATGTGTGTGTCCCTTGTGCATCTGGCCGGATGTGTGTGAAAAGAATCAATTACTGCTGGCCTTGGATGGGGGCGGGGGTGGGGCAGGGTAGTCACCCCTCCAACCCTCAAGCTGCAGTAATGACCTAGGGTCCCAGGGGATGCCCTCAGGGTGGAGGTAGCTTCAGATCATGTGCATGCGGTGTGGCGCAGAAAGTGGAATCTCACAAGTATGTGGAGCTCTCTTCAGCCCTTCTGGTGATTTGGGTCTGACCCTAATATCCTCACCAGGGTTCTGCCCTTCCCATCCCTCAGAAACCTTATCCTGCTGTAAAAGGCTGCCCTAAGGACCAGAATTCTGCCCCCCACCATCATGGGCTGACAAGTGGGGCTTGGGGAGCTCAACAGCAGAGGTGGGTGCAAGATTGTGTGGCAAGACAACTTTTGTCACTTTGGCCTCTATCTGGAAGGACCATGGGGCTGGAGTTGCTGGTCAGTGATGGTGGCCTCTCAGTAATACCAGGTACACTCACGGAGAGGGCACGAACGTGACACAGATATATCACTATGGGTAGATATCCCAGGAGGATGAGGACAGCCCTCCCAGACCTGCCCACTCCCACCAAGTGACCTCAGTTTCATAGCACTTTGACAGCAAAGGTGCTGTCACCAGAGACTCCTTTCCTGTATGATGAGGGGCTAGACAGTGCCCAATGGAACCACAGGAAGAACAGTTACCAGAGCCACCATCCAGCCCAGCCCTGCCCGGTCCAGTCTCCACAAGTATCCACAGCGACCTCTGCTGGGCAGAAGTGAAACCAATTTGAAATTTGGCAACTAACACTCCCCCACGGTGTGAAAGCTCAAGGTGGGTGTGGGCATTGTTAGGTAAAAACCATTTAGGGGCTACTTGTCTGCTTTTGGAGTCCTGAGTCGATGTTCTTGTCTGCAGTTCCTTCAAGCAATGGAACTGCCACTGTTCTCGCCTATATGGAAATATTTAAAGAGGGCCTAAAGACGTTTGTTCAAGTTTTCATCCAGTTGGGGGTGGGCATCAAATTTGTTTAAGAGAAAAAAGCATGAAAAACATTCATCAAGCTCAGGGAGATTTAAGTATATTTCCTCTTTTCCTCTCCTTCTTCAATTCCTTTCTCCTTTTTCTTCCTATTCTACTTTTATCCTCCCCTCTTCCTCATTATTAGTCAAAAACACATTTTTCAAACATATGCTTTCTTTTTCTCATCAACAATACGGCCCTGAAAATGCAGATATCAAGAGTCTATTTCTAAATGCAAAGAACTGGGAAACATTGGCTCCTCCAGGCCTAATGATGGGAGCAGGGGAGATGGATGAGATGTGCTCAGTCTTAAATGCCCACCTGATGACATGTGTCTCCTCTCCTGGTGTTGCTCTGAAGTGATTTCATGCAGCCACAAACTCTTTAGAGCTCCTTAAAGGAAAAGAGATATTTAAATACCTGGTATTGTTCTTACTTTGGCATCCATGTGATTTTCATTGAACTACATGACTCAGTATCATAAAGTAAAAATAGGACTTAATCTCCTCCTTGCCTGTTTGGAAGGTGACTGCATATGCATGTTGTGTTCTGCACTGGAGAGCGAAAAGCTAAATTATCTCATAAATTGAACTACCTGCTTATCCTAATTAGAGAATGTTGCTTAACATCAGATACAGGCAATAACATTGTTTTTTAAAATTCATACGTGAATCTCTGTCTTCTAAAGCCTTTCTTCATACTTATACATTATTACTTTCACTTGAGGTTAATCAAGAATGTTTAGTCCTTGTACTGAAGCCAAACAAATTAAAAATCGGCAGATACAGGAAGTTGTGGGTAGTATTTCTGTTCTTCTTGGGCTCAGAAAAGAAAAAATCCTTGGAATTCATAGGAGAGAAGGAAAGGCCCTGAAGATTCGGTAACTCCTATGGATGGAGTTTCTGAGGAGAGGCTCCTCAGAATTTTCCAGGAGGGCTGGTTGTGTTGAAGAATCTCCGTATGCATTCAAGTGGTACACAGGCTGGGAATGAGACTGCGGCTTTTGGGATTCCTAAATCCCCACACTAATGCAGCCCTTCTGGGAAAATCCCCCAAGTGCTTCCTGCTCCCTCAGGCCGCCCAGCAGTCCCTAGGGTGTGGAGCTGTCCAAGGTTCTGGAGCACTGGCCCCAGCCCCGCCTAGTGGAAAGGGAGAATTTTAGGGCATGGAGCAGAAGCAAGCTCTGAGGACCACGGCCTCTGTGAGGATTTCCCCAAAGCTCATCACAGAATGGAACAGGAGAAAACATAGCTGTAGACGATCTACTGCATCACTTCGAATGAACCCATCAGTGATCCCTATTTAAAGAATTACAAGCTAATAATAAGAGGAAACATTTCTGAGTCAGGCTCTTCACATGTAAGGATGTATTTAATCCTCACAGTCCTTTGATGTGGGTGGTGGTGTTACTTCCACTTTCAAGATGAGGAAATGAAACTTTGAGAGGAAAGGGGTTTGTCCATGGTTATACAGGTCAGAAGGAGCAGCGTTTATGCTCCAGCCTGGATATCTTAGACTCCAGAGACTCCTCCTGACCACTATTTTTTTTCCCTACTGCTATTGTAGAAGAAAAATTGAAGTATTGTACTGTCTTCTGTGAGATTCTAACCAAATTTTAGAGTAATGGGATTGGGGACCAACTAAGATTCAGACATAAATCACAAGGAGTCCTTTCAAATTGAGCAAGGGTATTGCCACATACTTTACATCTTATCCTGACAAAGGGCTTGTTACCTGAACTTGATTACCAAAGAAGGGGAAAGGTGAGTGTATGACCCTCATGGCCAGTGGTCCAGGGTTTTTCCAAAGTGGAACAGTTTCACAGGAAGCCAAGCCTGCAAGAATAGAGAGAAAGGGGAAAAAAATGAGGATGTTGTTATTATTCAACAGAGTACATATAGAGCTAAAGAAACGGGCTTATCTTTATCTGCTAGCATCCTGTTCCAATGCTGAGGACACTTGGATATTCTTAAGAGGCTCCTTCAACCTATTCCCTCTCTCAGATTTTTCACAGCAAAGCTTCTAACACCAAAATAAAAGTTTTCACTGTTGTGAGCCTCAACTAATCTCAGGGAAACATCACATTTCCACACTCATGCCGTCACAACCAATGTTCCACCTTCATATGTGGCCACGGGAGTCCTAAAGGTGGCCAGGTTTGGAGCTTGATGTGCTTCAAGCCACATATTCTCCAGTCCTCCCAGGGTGGCAGTGTCAACTGCCCCAATCTTGCCACACACACACAGGGGGCCTGTGCCTGAGAACTCCCCATGCGGTTGCTATAGGTTTGGGTGTCTAAAGAGAGTAGAGAGAAATAGAATTGCGCTTTTTCTCCTCTCCCTAGACCTCAGTGTGCTTAACACCCAGGCAGGGGCATGGCCTTTTAAAAAACTGCTTCACATCATGCTGGGGCTCCAATCCATTTTGAGCAATTCCTTTCCCTTGTAGGTTGGGATTTTGCAAGGCTCTTGACGTATGGAGCAAAGATTGCTATTGCTTTTCCCGAGGGCATTTGGAGGCCAAGGACCAGCTCCCCATCTGGGTCCGCTCTGACTCATATGACTGCAGACAGATTTGATTGTTTTCTTATTTAGAGTCATTAATTAACTCTCCTCAGCATAAGAACAGCATGTAACAAGAGGGAGGCCCTTTGCGGGGGTCTCTAGGCAGTCATGCCTATAGCTGAGCACCAGCTCTTTTGCTAACAGGATCGGGAAATGGTTTCTAATCCTGGCTATTACCCTTCAGAAAGCTTAGATTGTCAGCACTTTAGGCTAATATGAGAAAGGAAATGAAAATGTAATTAATTGCTAAGGCTACTATAGTTATTCTGCAAAAACTGAGAGGCCCCAGGATCCCTCAAAGAACTGGATTTTCATTCATTCAACAAACATTTCTTGTTCCTGCAGTGTGCCAGACACAGAACTGGGCACAGGGAACACTACTCCAACTTGGGATAAGCACTGTCATACAAAAATTTTGACTGGAAAGAGGAAACAGCTGCAGAAGCCCTGAAAACGGTGTGTGCTATAAGAGAAACTTAATAATCATAAGCCATCATCTCTTTTTTAACATGAGGAAAGAGGCTGAGGGAAGTTGAGGGTTGCCCAGTTAGCTGAGGATTAGAACCCAGGTTTTATAACTCCTAAGGTATGTTCTTTCCACTGTCCTAAACCGCTGCTATGTTTATTAAATTATCCAAAGGGCACATTTCCATTAACATAGGCTTTTATGATCCAATCCTAATGCAAAACCTAAAGTTGAAATAGAAACAGATGAAATAGGAAAAGAAGAACGCCTATTTATATCTGTTTCCAATATAATACCCATATGTGGCTATTGAGCACTTGAGATATGACTAGTCTGAACTGAGATGTGCTGTACGTATAAAATATACACCAGATTTTGAAAAATTAGTATGAAAAATAGCTCATTAATAATGTTTTGGATAAAATAAAATAACATTTTGGATACATCAGGTTAAATAAACAATATTATTAAAATTAATTTCACTTGTTTATCTTTACTTAGCTGCTCTTGTTATCAGAGGGGGCTTATAGAATCTTACAAGACAGGGGCAAGAGGAAGGAGAACAAAAAAAAAAAAAAAAAAGAGGAAGGAGAACAATTTTCAGATAAATCAAACAAAAGATTCACTACTAGTTAAAACATGATTGAAAACACTTGTAAGTATAAGCTCATGAATTACCTTGATGTGGGCCAAATTTTTTTGCAAATAAGGATACTGAGGAAAGATTTCAAGCCATTTATATAAGCATATGATGAATAAATAAATTAGCTAACTGAATTATGCACAGGTCTTGACCTCTGCTAATGAGTTGAGGAAGAGGATGATTAGAGGGTACTTACAACAGATGACCCAAGAGCTCTAAGTCTCTTGGACTCCACGATTCCTCGGGGAAATGAGAGCCTTGTGCTTTAGGAGAAAGATGCTGGATAGGAGTTGGACATACACGAGGTCAAAGCCACTCTGCCACCCATTGGCCTTGATCAAGTTATGCAGTCTTGAGCACTCAAAAAATGGTAGCTATGACTAAATGGGATTTCAGGTGTTCTTTAATAGAAAAGTTTCTGTTCAGAATCTCCACGGTCTTCTCTACAATTCTACTGTCTCACCCCCCATCTTTGCTTGTTCCCTGAGGAGGCTTAAAGGACAGTTGCATTCGATTGTGTCTACACCAAAACGTAGGGTCTCAGTAACTTTGGGCACACCTCAGCATCTTTCATGTTCTCCTCTGTCCCATCAACACACGTGAGGTTCTTTCTCTGGGACGATGAGGCAAGCAGCAAAACAGGCATCATTCTGTCATGTTTATCCTGAAGTTCTGCATTCTCATCTTGGTGTTTAGAGCACTTTACATGCAGTTTTACTTTAAAAATAAAGGGACATAAATAAAGAAACCATAGCCCCAGGAGAACGTGGCCATGGTCTCTTTACTGCACAGCTCTGAGGGAGCACATCATTGCTATTCTTGACCATCTTTTTTCCAAAAGTTTGCCTTCTAGATCAAAGAAATACATGTTAAGCTCAGTGAAGACTTATGTTAACAGAGCATGTTGAAACCAAACTCCTTTCTAGAGACTAGTCCCACAGGAAGTGCAGAAATCCCTGGAAGTTCTTTAGAAGGAGAGAAACATGGTCAGATATCCTGGGTCAGTGTGGTGGGTGAGTTGAAGTGGGGAAGAGCCTGGAGGTGGGATGGCCCCTGGTTCTGCTGAGAGGCCCCTGACTTCCAGGGACTTAAGTACAGGGCTAGGTTATTTGGGGATAGATTCTGGTCTTGAAATGCATTTTTCCCACCCATTCGCTCTCTTTTTAAAAAATAAATTTATTTATGGCTGCATTGGGTCTTCGTTGCTGCACACGGGCTTTCTCTAATTGCGTTGAGTGGGGGCTACTCTTTGTTGCGGTGCGCGGGCTTCTTATTGCGGTGGCTTCTCTCGTTGCGGAGAGCCGGCTCTAGGCGCGCGGGCTTCAGTAGTTATGGCTCGTGGGCTCTAGAGCGCAGGCTCAGTAGTTGTGGCACACGGGCTTAGTTGCTCCGTGGCATGTGGGATCTTCCTGGACCAGGGCTCGAACCCGTGTCCCCTGCGTTGGCAGGGGGATTCTTAACCACTGAGCCACTAGGGAAGTCCCCAATCCATTCTTTTTTTTTTTTTTTTTTTTTGCTGTACGCGGGCCTCTCACTGTTGTAGCCTCTCCCATTGCGGAGCATAGGCTCCGGACGCGCAGGCTCAGCGGCCATGGCTCACGGGCCCAGCCGCTCTGCGGCATGTGGGATCTTCCCGGACCGGGGCACGAACCTGTGTCCCCTGCATCGGCAGGTGGACTCTCAACCACTGCGCCACCAGGGAAGCCCCATTCACTCTTTTGTTCACTCAACAGATACTGAATGGTACATAGCTAGGGTGGCGGTGTTTTCAGAAACCTTGCTCCAGAGGACCCCAGGGTCTGGCTGGGTAGAGGAGCAATGCCCACGTGAAGGGTAAACCAAGGAAGACGGGCTGATGTAATAACAGGAGGCCTATTAAGGTGGGTTGGCTATGGCGGTGGGAAAGCTGTTGATCCCAACCAGATAGAATTGACTCTGAATCTCAGCTTCATCACCAAATGTGTGGCCTTGGGCAAGTGCTTTAACCTTTCTGAGTTTCATTTTCCTCATCCGGGACAATTAAATCTACTTTTCCTGGGTTGTTATGGCCTTACATGGCAACATATAAAGAAAATTCTTAGGATTAATACTAGCTCTCCTTTACTGAGTGCTTACAGTGCACCAGGCATTGTGCTCAGCCCTTTATATGCATAAAAGAGCTACTGTTATTATCCCTATTTTATAGCTGAGGAAAGCAATGCCCAGGAACTTCAAGTAACTTGCCCAAGGTCACACAAGCAGTAAGAGGTGGGCAAGCTGACTGCAGAGCCTGCTCTTAACCACTGTGATTACTGCCTCATGGTTCAAGATCAGCAGGAACCCAATAACTTCTTTTGAAGGAGGGCAAGGTGATTTGTGGGTCAGCTTGTAGAGAGGTCTTCTGCTTGGTCTTCAAGGGTGTGTACAGGCCTTCCCTGGTGGTGCAGTGGTTAAGAATCCTCCTGCCAACGCAGGGGACAATCCCTGGTCCAGGAAGATCCCACATGCCGCGGAGCAACTAAGCCCATGCGCCACAACTACTAAGCCTGCGCTCTAGAGCCCATGCTCTGCAACAAGAGAAGCCACCGCAAGGAGAAGCCTGCGCACCGCAATGAAGAGTAGCCCCTGCTCGCTGCAACTAGAGAAAGCCCGGGGAACAGCAATGAAGACCCAACACAGCCAAAAATAAAAACAAACAAATTTATAAAGAAAAAAAAGGTGGGTACAATATGAAGAGGCTCTGAAGGGTCAGTAGGGTGGGGAGGGAAGGCAGGGAAAAGTCATGACCAAATGAACAAGGCTGGGTATGCCAGTGGTGTATTCTGGGGACCCTGAAATGGAGAAGAGAGTTTCAGTAGGAAATAGATGTTTCGTAAGAACGGTTTAGAAAACCTGTGGCTAACAATTTTTGGCCAAAAAAAAGTTCATATGCAAAGAAAGGAATGTAAAATCTGAAACTACCAATTTGAGGTATCTCACTGAATTGGGGCATTTTGTTGCCATGTGGAACGTGCTCATCAAGCATACCCAAAGCCAGAGCTTGTGGAGGGCGTGGCCAGACAGCACAGCCATCCAGCATTCCTACCAGTGCTCTTTGCTCTTTAGAGAACATGCATGGACTTTTCTCTCATTTGGTCTTCACAAAAGCTCTAGGCAGGAGAAGGCTGGGAACTCTGCTACGAG